TATCTGACTGAATATTTGGGCACCCTATGATTTAGTCAAGTTGGCACAAAACCATAATAAATGCATCTTATTTTTTGTTTTGCCAAGTAAGGACACAGACATCATCGTTATATTACAAGAGAAGTGTATTCGTGGCTTTAAAAAAGGGATTTGAAACAACTCATTAGGTAAAATTAACTTTGGCTAAACAAAATTACACTGCCTTCTTAATTTTACCGTGGAACAATGGAAGCCCTGGGAAGATGAGTCAGAACACTGGTTTGAAACCCGGAAGAGATGTCACACAGCCTTCGAGGCAGAGGCACTGAGAGGACTGTGCTGAAATCCAGGGAGGCTGTCTCGACACAGACCTCAGCTGTGTGAGGCTTGACAGCCTGTGCACGGAAGGGACAGGGAAGCAGAGAAGGCAACAAACACGAGCTACTTTGTCCTTTGAGCTCCCTCACATGATAAAAGTTGACTGAAGTAACAGGAGGGCTTGGCTCTCAACCACCTTGATCCTGGAGTGTTCACGCCCAGCAGAGCCATGGGAGGACAGAAGGAAAGGGAATCTTCCAGAGCTGAGCCTCAGGTGCCTGGAGGACGCTGCTGCTATGGAAAGGAAGCTCAGAAGCCGTGACAGTGTGGCATGTGTCACTCTGCAGCCATACGAAACCCATCTTTGTCCCTTTTACTTTCAGGAAAAAAGAAATACAATCATTCCTATTTAAAAATGGAATGAAACAAAAAATGCCAACTAAAATCCTCTGCAAATCAATAGGGGAGGAAACAAATGCTCACAATGCTACTGCTTTAGCTCAGAAAGTGATTTTTTTGTACAGCGTATTCGTAAAACTTTCACTTGACATTGAAGAAAAAAAGAGCTGCTTCTAAAAATTTTAAAAAAATTTATCTTTGTCCCAGGCTGCAAAAATTAAAAGGTGCACTGAAAAGGGGGCAAAAATACTGTACAGCAGGGGAATCCAGCAACACACTAGGACATACCTATCCATACATGTCCATTACAGGCGTGTAGTCCCTTAAATTGAAGGGACTCTACTCTTGATTAGAAGACCAGGGAAAAGAAATCTCTACACAATAAACCAATTTCTTTATTCTTAACTTCAGATCTTCTTGAAATTGTACACTGCTCTTTGATGATGTCAGGTATAGCAGTACTTTCATTATTCCATTGATGTTAGGATAATCTGACCGTTGAACATATTTGTGAAAGAAGGGATTACAGCTTTGCCATTCAACATAGTCTTCACATCAGTGTGTTTCAATGGCTTCTCAATTCAGTATTTAAGCATAGGAATGTACTTCATACACTAGGGTCCTCCTGCAATCAAATCTAATGTGAAGGTTGTTTTCTAATACAGACAAATGCACTAATAACTCTAATTTCACAGTTGTGTGCTATGTCTTGGCCAACGAAATTATTACTGCTCTCTCTGTAATTATATGTGCTGGACTAATGATTTATTTATACTTGCAATCTAGTACATGTTCTTTAAAGAGCTATTTTTACATTAGTCCTTGCCTGTTGAAGAATTTTAGGCATAAGAAGTGTTAATTATATAAATGTACATAATAAAACTATAAATGGATAGAAATGTGTGTTTATCTAAAATCAGAGGATGGATATGTAATTCACTATTGTCTTCCCCAATATCCTTCTGTCATCTGGGTAAAGCAGCCCCTCGTTTTGAACAGGGAGCATCTAACATGCAGTCTAAATGAACACTGCCGTCATTTCTTAGCCATAACCTCTCTGGGTGCTATAATCTGCACAGAAGTGCTAACTGACCTCGGCTCTCAGCCATGCAGGTGGGCCTGGGCCAGGAATGAGGGCATCAGGTTGACGTAAGTCTTGACTATATTCCAAAGCAGTCTTTCCCTGGAGATTTTCAACTGAATCCAGGTTCGAAGAGACAAAATCTTACCTTCCCTATGGCAAAGTTGGGTACCTGGGAGCCAGGAGCTACTTGGGCATTACCTAGCCCACCATCGGCAGTATTAGCATTTTCAGTCAGATATTCTGTGTTGCTGGGAGCTGTCTTGTGCCTTGTAGAACATTTAGCAGCACAACCGGCCTCTTCCTACGGGATGCCAATAGTACATTTCCTCCATATGTGACCATCTCCAGGCTCCGCCTGCTGTACGCTGGTGTCCAAAATGGCACCCACCAAAATGGTCCCCAATTAGAATCATGGATTTAGTCCACAGAAGGAACCAAGAGGAAGAATGGAAACAAACAATTCAAGAGAAGTAGTGAATAAAGGCATAAACTTGAGTCCATAATGTTAAGTGAAATAAATCAGTCACACAAGCTTCAACATCTCTTATATGAGAAACCCGAAGAATATATAATTTAAAAAGTAAAGTAAGGATGGTCAGTAGGAAACAGATGAATGGGGAAGGGATCTACGGATGGAGAAGGGGAAGTAAAATGAATTAAGATGTGTTATGTACATGTACCAACTCCCCCTGATAAATGTCATCACGTACTACAAAATGCACTGATAAAAATAAAAATAAAGAGGACTGTGAATGATCACATCTCTAAATATATTCTTTTATATTATTATGTAAGCTGATCAACTGCTTTTTTTACCCTTAGGTAGTTTGATTCTGTTCTTCTGTCAAGTGCAATAATAACAATTCTGAAACAGAATTAGTACAAGACAGATGGAAAAACTAGAACAAAGAGCAGTAAAAAATGAAATCAATCAGTGAGGCTTGGTCAAAGCACAGATTTAACACGAGTTTGGAAATTTCACATAGGAACTCACAGGGCTGTTTACAGAAGACAGCACAAAGGAACCAGCTATGCCGGTCCACGGAGTAAGTGGATAGTAAACAGTTCCCAACCGATATAAAATTACCTTCACGGCAGTCATGGGATGAGCAAATGGAGAAAAACACCCCAGAATTTTATGTATGTCTTCTTAGAGTACACATGACATGTAATGATTTTGAAGTGTGTGAAGGTAGGTGTTTGTTGTTCTTGAAAAAAGGAACAAATCATGTTCCCCACTCCATCCATGGAGAAACATTAAAAAGAGAGAGAAAGCACAGGAGCAGTCACGAGCACACTCCTGCATCTGAGCAGGCGCACATCGGACGGCAGGCCCCGGCCCGCGGTCTCCGAGTTCACGGGAGTCGGCCTTCCCGGCCGTGACCTTCGTCTGAGCACAAGCTCAATCCCACACACACAGAAAGCAAGTTTGTCCCTAGGATTCCAGGTGGGAGTAACTAGAAATTTATCATCAAAGCGCTGGTTCTGCACAGCTAATCAGGTAAATGGAATGAAAGAACAGTACTGGCACCAAGCAGCTGTTCAATAAGAACCTGGCTTGTCACAGGCAGCCATATTCAAAGCGTACTAACTCTGCACCCACTCTACACCACTGCCACAGGGACGCCCACTGAAACAAGTGTTTGTTTGGAAGACCATATTCTTGGGTTGAACATAAATGAACCATAAGGCACCTGTGTTTTGAGAAACAGAGACTGTACGTCAAATGAAAAGTATACGTAGACATTGGGTGGATTTTTCTTTTTAAGTAAAAATTTACGTTGTTATTGTTAAAAGGATTTTAGGAGAAGGTATCAAATAATCGTGCTTCTGTGTTACTGACAACAAGCCCATCACCGCACACAGCTCAACCACTTCAGGGAAACCACACCGGAAGTCCTGCTGCTACCCGACAGCGTAGGGAGCTCTGCAGACCTGCGACTCATCGCTGAAAACGACGACGGTCCCTCGACAAGCAGTGCTGAGATGGCCAAAAGCCTGCATGGCAGGGAGTGAAACTGGGCCCTTCCTCACACCATCAAGTCACCCTAAATGGATCGAAGCCGAACAGTCCAAGTCTAAGAGCCCCGAAACACGGAGAACAAATGGAAAAAGTTACACTGGATTTCATCAGAACCCACAACTTCTACAGTTTAAAGGCATAATCAAGAAAGGGAATGATCACAGTCTTACGAAGATTTGTATCTAGAACGTACATACATCTTATAACTCCGTAAGAAAAGGGCAATATAAATTAACAGCAGGTAAAAGACAAGCAGGCATTTCTCCAAAGGACCTATATCTATATATGAAAATATGTGGAAATATGTTCGTTTATTTATCTTATATACACTGTCTACATGGCCAGTAAAGATGTCCAGCGGCAGCACGTGAAACACACAGCAGAGACGCCAATCAAACAGGAATGAGGCGTCCTTCAGCCCATCAGGACGGTTATAGGAAAGACTCCAGTCGTAACAAGTGTCGGAGGGGCTGTGGGGACCCTGAGACCCTCACATGGTGTTGGTGGGAACGAGAAATGCTGCCGCCACCTTGGAAAATAATCTGGCGACTCCTTAAATGCTTAAACGTAATTACATAACCCAGCAGTTCCACTCTCAAGTACAGGCCAAGGAGAAATGAAAACATATGAACATAAAATCAGTATGAAATCACTCCGCACATTCCTATCACTAGAATGTAAGCTCTCTGAATCAAGTTGATATTGTTTTTGAGCTACCGGGGATTGAACCCAAAGCCCTCATATTGAGCTACATTCTCAGTTTTTTGTTTTTTTTTCAAATTTTGAGGCAGCATCTCACTAGCTTTTTCAAGCAAGGCTTGTTACGATCCTCATGCCTGAGCCCGGCCGTACACAGGCTAGAGGGAGTGTGTCTTTTTATCACTGTAATACTTAGCACCTATAAAAGTGCCCTGCAAAAGGTAGACAACTAAGAAAGAGAATGAGATCATGACCGTAAGCTTGATAAATAATGTACACCTTAAAAAGTGAAAGCTAGGTGTGATTTGTAAAGAGCAGAGAGAGAGATGGGGGTTACTGGTAGGAATATGATACCTAAATACTTCTAACTAATAACACAAATAAATCTTTTTTGGAAACTTCTTTTAAGTAACAACTTGAAACAAGTCAATTTTTGAAGTTATTTTTAATAATGTTAAATCACTTAAAGAACACACCACAGCTAGACATTTCATATGAAATTTTTTTATTAAAACTGAGTCTTTATAACATATTTAAAATCTCATGTTCCACAATCATATATTTAAGAAAAAAATCTTTATGTAATTATTGGCACATAAATTTAAGAACATAATTAAGGTTAAGCTAAATCTTTATCAATATAGATACATATATCTATCTGTATAATATAATAGACGTATATATCTATATTAATATATATCATAGAATAGATCTACATAGATTGATGGATATATCTCCAAATTCATATCAAGGACCTGGAATACCTGAGTTTTCAAGTTGTTGGTTTTCCAGATAGTGTGAAATGTTTTCCATACACTTTACAAAGGGCACAGCTGATCCAAAAAGAGTAACTTTGGTTCGAAGGTGCTGTCTCCCAAGCATCAAACAGAAGTCCTCAGTGGGGTTAAAGTCTATCCTCAGAGTCTTCTTCCAAGTGAAGGTCAGTCTGTGATGTAAGGAATGATTCCCACGTAGCAAGGCACTGAATAATGGAAAGATACCATGAGATCAACAGCAGTGCACCCTCAGTGTTAGCAGGCTTAATAAATCGGGCGTGTCTATTCCTGCCACAAGCCATCTCCGTCCTATCAGCATGCCAGAATCACTGTCATTTCATTTCCCACATACTTTAACTCTTAGTGAAGGATGCTATCCCAAATGAGAGGAAAACATATCAAAGGTTAAAAGATTTACACAGACTATTGGGAATAACCCACCATTGACGTCACTGTCAGGAAAGAAAATAGGGCTCTAAGTTACAGAGTGAAAGGTGGACCCATTCGGATCTAAGGAGGCAGGCAGTAGGCATGCAGACAGCGGTACCAGTGCACGCAGGCCTAAGGTGGATGTGGAACCCACTACTCCAGTGTGAGTTTGAGAGTCAACTTTTGTTATAGATTCTTTAGCTATAAATTAGGTTAGTGACATTACTTACCACGAAGGCAATTGTAAAAACCAAATTTATATAATCTGTAAAACTTTCTATGCAGATGCCTAGCACAAGCATAAAAGTCCTGAAAAAGCTGGAAAATACTATATTCTGATATATAGTAAAATACTAATTGCTATACATAATTATATAACTATATTATTTAATCATAATAATGAAATTACTATACTATATTATGATGATCTGTTAGGGCTCAGTGGCAAGACTTGATTATTGTTTAAAGAATGAAAAAAAACAAAATGAAGAGTTACACCTACAAAAGAAGGCAAGAAGCAAGTGAAAACCGTGGATGATGGGACAAAAAGAACAGCAAGATAATACACTCGAATCTAGCTGTATCAAGAATCAATTTAATTGTCTAAAGGATAAACACTCCGACAGAAGAGGCAGACTGTCTTGTAAATAAAAACAGGCCCCATCTCTGTTTTGTTTAATTTTTTGTAATCTTTTAACTATAAGGATACAAGGTGGTTACAATTAAAAGGACATGTAATCTATCAAAAGAACAGCTAGAATGGCTACATTAATATGAAATATATTTCAAAGATCACTATCAAAGATAGATAATCATTTCATAATGGTAAAGGGGCGAACTCATCTATATAATGTAATTCAAAATGTTTATCGTATCAGAGATTTAAACAGATGAAACACAAACTGAGAGAAAGATACGGAGGACGACACACACACCTCAGGGGCACTGACCCCTCTCACACTGATGGACTGCCTGGGCAGGAACAACCAGCCACACGGTTCTGAGCCACACGGTTATTCAGGCTGACCCCACTGACAGACAGAGGCAGAACACACCTTTCCTTTCAACGCACACTTCTTGCTGTGATTTTCGGTCCCGTACGTTCACTGTTTTCATTTTCTTCTTGCCTTCTTTTGGATTAATAACAATTTTGCATGACTTATATCTTTTGTTGGCATATTAGGTATAACTCTTATTTTATTTTATATACGTATCGTATGTATATATGTTTTTGTGACGTATGGTCTTGCTATGCAGTTCAGGCTGGCCTTGAGCTCACTTTGTAGCCTAGGCTGGTCTCGAACTTGCAGCAATCCTCCTACCTCAGCCTCCCGAGTGCTGGGATTACAGGCATGCATTACCAAGCCTAGGCTTATTATAACTAAATCTTGGAAACAACCCAAATGCCCATCAACCAAGGAATGGTTAAAAAAGATGTGCTTTTTTTATACAGTGCAGTACCACTCAGCCATAAAGAAGGATAAACATGAGACTTTTTTAAGTAGATGGATGCAACTTGAGACCATACTCATAAGTGAAATAACATTTACCAAAACAAATCATATTTCAGGCCATACAAGAACTCTTAATACATTTTTAAATGATTCAAGCCCTATGAAGTATGTTCTCTGAACACAATGGAATTAAACACGAAATCAGTAATAAAAAGATATATGAAAAATCCCTAAATGTATAAAATCTAAACAAGACAATTAAAAATAATCCCATGTCAAGAAAGAAACTATACCAAGAAACACAGCAATGAATACCTACATTAGAAAAAAAGACTCAAGCCAATGTCTTTGATTTCTACCCTGAAAACTAAAATGACAACCATAAAACTCAAATATATTAAACTCAAAGTAAGCAGAAGGGAAAAAAAAAAACAGTAAAGATCAGAATGAGAATCAATCAAACAGCAAGAATAGAAAAAAACTATTAAAACTAAACGTTGGATCTCTCAGGTTAAGAAGACTGATAAACTTCCAGCCACACTGATCATGAAAAGGAAAGATGATACAAATCAGCAGGAGTAAGGAATAAAAGCAGGTAACATCAGCTCAGATTCTACTGAAGAAAGAAAACACAGGAAGAATGTTAGGCCTGTTTGACATGCTGACAGCTTAACACAGAATGGACTAATCTGTCAAAAGACAAAAATGATCAAAACGCACTGCAGAAAAAACAGATAACCCAAGTGACCTTGAACTTACAGATACCTATCTTCCCACAAAGACAACTCCAGCCCCAGAAGTCTGTCTTGGTGAATTCCATGAAATACAGAATTCTACAAAAACTTCCAGAAAATTGAAGACACAGTAAAACCCATTGTAACTTACCAAAACCAAACACATTAGAAGAGAAGAAAACTACAGACCAGTTTTACAAATAAATACAGATGCAGGGTTCTAAATGAAATTTTAGCAATGAAAGGCCATCAGACTACATAATGAATTCTACATCTTTACCAGGTGGGTTTCTCCCAGGAGCGCAAGGTTGTATTCACATTCAAACAGCAATGGACATCACTATGTAAATACACCGCCAACCCAACAGACATTGGTAAAGCCTCTGCCAAATTCCAGAGTCTGTTCCTTATTTTTGAAAGTCTTAGCAAACTAGGGATAGAACTTCCTTTTACTGAGGAAAAACATCTACAAAAAGTGTACAGTTCACATCATATACATAAAACATATTATCGAGACAGACAAGCAGCACCACCATTTTCCTCGTGGGCTGAAGAAGGGCGTGGCTTAGCCAGCAGATGTCTCTCATGCGCTCCTCGCCCCATGTCCTCTGCTCCCCGCTGCACCCCAGTGGGCCGGGACAGTTTGCTTCAGTGTCGCCCCTGGCTATCGAACTGCGATTTTCCATTCCAGCATGCGTGCGGCCAGGCAGTGTGGTGCCCCTCCACCTCCTGCCGTTTCCGATCATACTACCGCATTCTCGAAGACAGGACACCCTGAGTGACCAAGGTAAGAGAGGGCGGGACCTGCGCTCTCACTGCACCCACCATTCCCAGCGAGCCTTCCAGAGGGTCTCTGGTGTCAGCGCTACCTCTCACTCACGCAGCAACCCTCCCCGGGGGTCCCCTGTACTACAGGACAGGCGCTGTTACCATACTCACTCTCGTGTCCCCACAGTCCTGCCCAGGATTTACTTGGGTACTGTGGACTCCAAACGTCCTCTAAGTCTATTTGGGGTTTTTATTCTGAGGAGTGTGGACAGAGCTATTAATAGCAGAGCGTTCCAGAGACCAGCAGCCAATGAACATTAGTAGCAGAGATGAGCGGCTGGCAGAGTCCACCTACAGTGTCCAGCACACACTGGCATCGGCCGGTGACACCAGGAACAGCACTGACCAGCAGCTGGCTGGGTCAACTGCTGGCATCCAGCGTTACCTGGTGTCACTTGGTGACATCGGGGACTACCGGCAGAGCTGCACCTCACAGATTCACCACATCCCAGTCGAGCACAAGAACCCTAGGCTAGTTATTAATATTTTTTTAAATGCCAAGAGAAGACATAAATGCTCATTTTTATAAATACTCATAAATCTTTATCAGATTTCAATCATAAAAAGAGAATGGAATACAAAATACCAAGAGATCACTCAAAACTCTATCCACAACTTTTGAAAAGCAAAGCCAACTGCTACATGGGACCAAAGCGCCGAGGGAGAGCAGAACCATTCTTCCCACTTAGGAGGAGCCTGCTGCCCGTGCAAGTCGTCCTTCCCCTGGAGCTCTCCGGTCTCTGCAGGTCACACGTGACTTTGCAGCTGTTAACGCTGCAGGGCAGCCCAACCAAATGACTGCTTTCACAAGACGTCACCGCTTTTCGATGACAGCAAAGCTCTATCTAAACGAAGGTAAAATTCGAAATGAAATTCTGAACCGTGCGCTCTATTTAGAATTCCTGTCAAATAAGTGATCAAGATTAGACCAAAGATACCACTAGTCCTCAAGTGAAGACGCTTCCATCTTTGTCACTTCCTGCTTCAACTGTGCTACTTTAAGAAAGGCCGTAAGATTTTAGTAGTCATCCACGCCTATCAGTGTTATGAGTTAACATTTTTATTTCTAAGCAATTTTTAAAATTGATAGTGAAATTTAGTAAGAGACAAATTAGCTGTCTGCACAGTAAAGGCAGGGAAAAAGAACACTCACATACTTGAAATGCTGAATATTACAGAACAATTAGCACAGGTAACAAGAGAAGTGATGTAACAACTGCTGAGCTTTCACACATTCATAGAATACTTGGTCAGGCAGTGGAACAGCTGCTTTATGTACCACTTTCTTAAAACCTCACAATGATAATTATGAATTCCACTTTGCCAATGAGAAAGCTAAGGCTGAAATGTTTAACTACGCTTACAATATCCCAACTTTCCTAAGTGGTGTAGCTACTGTTCACTCACCGACAAATGAAAAATAACCCATCTCTTGAATGAACATCAGGCTACGCTTAATAAGACGCTGGCCCTCATTTTCTTAGTAGAAGGGCAATTTTGGAAAGAGAGGTGGGTAAGAAACTGTATGGACTAGAGGGGTAGAAGGCTGAGCAAACTTTAGGAGAGTATGTACAAGAGCTCGATTAGCATAGTTCTCTACTCAGTGCTGGAGAGTCTTTATATCCAGAAGCACATACATCCTTTGAAGACGATTAAGTCAATACATGACAAGTATATGACAAGTGCTCAGTAAAGGTAGCTGACCACAGAGAAGGAATCTATTGAATTACCAATGCTAAAATGCATCTCTTTATAGAAACT